TAATTGAAGGCAAGATGATTGAAAGGGACTGTCACTGTAGGAAAATTCAGTCAACCTCTCACTTTTTCTAGGTCTCTTTCCACTGAACTTGAACACCAGTGTGTCCTAGAATAAGTGGTATCTTGCTAATTTTTAGGACTTTTTTTTTAAAATTTATTTTATTTATTATGTATACAGTATTCTGTCTGCATGTATGCCTGAACACCAGAAGAGGGCACCAGATCTCATTATAGATGGCTGTGAGCCACCATGTGGGTGCTGGGAATTGAACTTAGGACCTCTGGAAGAGCAGCCAGTGCTCTTAACCTCTCAGCCATCTCTCCAGCCCTGGACTTGTTTATGTATTGTATGTATATGGGTGTTTTGTCTGCACGTACATTGCATACCAGAAGAGGGCATTGGATCCCATTGGACTATAGTTATAGAGGGTTGTGGGAATTAAACCCAGGATCTCTGGAAGAGCAGCCAGTGCTCTAACTGCTGAGCCATTTCTCCAGCCCTGGAATCTTGCCAGTTTTTAATGTAATTTGGGTGCTTATTAATGGAGAAACAGTCCAGCTATCATGTGCATAAGGACCTTAAAAATATAAGATGCTGGCCGGGTGGTGGTGGTGGCAGAGGCGGTGGTGGTAGTAGCACACACCTTTAGTCCCAGCACTCAGGAGGCAGAGCCAGGCGAATCTCTGTGAGTTTGAGGCCAGCCTGGGCTACAGAGTGAGTTCTAGGACAGGCTCCAAAGGGACACAGAGAAACCCTGTCTCAAAACAAAACAAAAACAAAAACAAAACAAAAAGATGCTTAAACGTTATGTATGAAAATGAATAGGTCAACAATATTTAGAAATAAGCTTTGCTGCCTATTTAAAAGAATAATAAAAAAATAAGCCAAGCATGGTGGCAAACACCTCTAATCTTAGTATTTAGGAGGCAGAGGTAGGCCGATCTCTGAATCAGATCTGGCTATTTCAGGACAGCCAAGGTTGTTACACATAGGAAACCTGCCTTGAAAACAACCAACACACACACACACACACACACACACACACACACACACACACACACACACACCAACTGGTATCTGAGAGCAAAGAATAATTTGCAAAAAGCATATTTATATATTACATTAATTCACATACAAAAGAATGTTGAGCTGAGTTTCATGTATCCCAGGTTGACCTCAGACTCTTTATATAGGTGAGGATGACTTTGAACTCTTGATCTTCCTTGCCTCACTCCTCCCAAGGGGTGGAATTTCACTTCACACACTGTAACTGGAGAGATGGCTCCGTGGTTAAGAGCACTGGCTGCAGCTGCAGAGGACCTGGGTTTTAGTCCCGAGCACCCACCTTTGTGAACTCAGTTCTGGGGATCTGACGCCTTCTGGCTTTCTCAGGCGCCAGGTGTTCAGACGATCCACATGAGGCAAACACTCATATACATCAAATAAAAATAAACAGATCTTAGGAAATGCTTTGATCCAGTCACCCAAAGCGGGATGAAGAAACAGAGGTGGTGGAAATGATGCTCAAGTTTACAGTTGGAGGCTGGTGCACAGCTGTGGTTCCTGGCACTCGGAGGCAGGAGGATCAGCAATCTGAGGCTGACCTAGGTGGGTCATACGAGAGAGTATGTCTAAAAACCCAGAAGAAAATCAAAACTTGTTATTCTGAAATCAAAGGGGCTGGGAATATATGAGTATATAGCTCGGTGGCACTGACTATTTGCTTAGCATGCCCAAAGTCCTGCCTGGGGTCAATGTCAATGCCTAGCATTAAAAAAGAATAAGAAAGCATTCATGTTTTTCTGAGTTAATATAACAACCTTTTTCCCAGTTGAACTGGCCACTGCTGGAAAGAGACAAGAAAATAATATACCTCCTGTGGCTATTCCCTGAACCTCAACCTATGATTCTCACCTTTGATAAACTGTGTCACTGATCAGCCAGATGTGGGTTTGCATTTGTTTTTAGCTGTGTTCCAGAGGGACCCAGGGCCTTGAACATGCTGGGTAGGTACTCTACTATTGAGCTATCCCTCCAGGTCATTACATTTTTTAAAAAAGACAAAACAAGTTTCAGATGAGCTACTTGGGTAGTCCATTGCTGGAAAGAAGAACTTCCACTCACGTCACTACAGTGTGGAACAACTATGCTGCTCGAATACACCTCACTCTGACATGCAGCGTGATTTCCACCTATCATTACACTCAGTCAATGTCCAGATGCCCAACACAGTGAAAGGTAGAGCTTAAAGATGGTTCAGGGTAACTGCTATCAGCTTTTAAGGAGTGTATGTAGAAATTAAAATCATTCTAGATTACTAAGTAATTAAAATGAGGGCATGGAGAAGGAATAATGGGAAAATGCAGTTTCTTTTATCTTCAGCAGAGGAAAAGCCACAAAACAACTGTAATGTCACGGAAAGACTACTAAGCTCACAGTACACTATAGTTAACACCTGGTTCATGTGCTTGACAGAAACATTTGAAAGAATGAATATGACTTTTGTAAAATTCAAGTAAAGTAAAAGTCAACTAAAGTTTAGGCAATCTCAAATATATCTATTTTTTTGAGGCAGGATCATATATAATCTAGCTGGCCTTAAACTGGCTATACAGCTAATCTTTAATTCCCTACCTGTAGCTACGAAGTACTAGAATTTTATCTTGTTTTGAAACAGTCTTGCTGTGTAGCCTTGGTGCCTGGCAAACCCAGATGAGCCTCCCAAGTACTCAGACTACCACTGTAGTGCTACATATTAAAATCCATCCAGAGCAATGTGCTTTTAAGAACTAAGTGACCTGGCATTTGACTTCCTCATTAGAGATGAAGAGTTTGTTTGCTTCTTTCCTTTCCTGGGTCATTGGCCCTGGTGCTGGGATCCAAACTCCAGTCCTCATAGCTGAGCGACAAGCCCTCTTAACTCTGAGCCCAAAAGGAATTTTGTACTTGTTGTTTTGTTTTTCCTCTCTGTGCAGCCCTGGCTGTCCTGGAACTCTGCAACCAGGCTGGCCTCAAACTCAGAAATCCATCTGCCTCTGCCTCCCAAGTGCTGGGATTAAAGGTGTGCACCACCACTGTCCGGAGCCCAGCTCTGTAAGGAGCCAGTTCATTCTTGGCACCTAGAGCTGCTGATAGCCACTTGGGAATGGAAGCAGAATGTTTGGATCGTTTAAATGTAATGAACACTCAATAGCTTGAACCAATGAGAATAATAAATTATGATCTAGGTAGGTGTCTGACAAAGATACAAAGAACAGAGAAAGTGCTGGAGTCTCTTCCCTGAACACTTCCAAACTGCTGAGCTCTTTTAGCAGGTGGGGCTTTCAACAGAAGTTGCACAGCAGCTTGGAAGGTGATCTGCATTAAAACGCATGGGCAGATTCATTGATGGATTTGAAAACAAATCCACATGCATTTAAATTAAACAGGAAGACTGAGTTTCTTACAAATTTTTAAGAAACCAGTCATTTTCTCTATATACTTTTGTTCATCCAAACCACTCACAGTAAAACCCTTTTTTGGGGGAGGCATAATCGTGTTTAGATTCTACATAGCTTAATAATTTTTGGTGATAATAATTTCTTGTTTTGAAAGAATAAATTTTGGTTTATCAGCTAAGTGCATTTATTCAGTTGAACAAAAGCTTTGCTACTATTCTGTTCAGGAGGATAAGTTAGGAAAACAAATAAATCAGAAACAATGTTAGCTTTTTGTTGGTTAGAGAGATTTTTCTACATATAAAAAAATAAATAATTCAATCTCTCCTACCATGCAAATAATTTCCAGTAACAAACTCAGAGTTCAGACAAAAACAAAAGACAAAAAAGCCCACCAGGCACTATCAGACTTCCCTAGTCTAAAAAAGTGCTAAACATGGCTTCAAAATAGGCAGATGGCATTTAAAGTAACACTTTTGGTTGCCCATACATATCCCCAAATTTAACATGAAACTGTTCACAAGTTGATGACTTTAGTTATAATTATCTAATAAATACAGCATACACACATGAGCATTTCTTTATATAAAATCTTTGATACCAATTTCTAGGCAAGGCTAGAAATCAGCCTCCTTTAGTCCCCTGTCTTGTGGTGGAGGAGACTTCTTGTGCCCAGGGCCGGCTATCCAGGTATGGAAGGCAAAGGTACCCAGGAAGTGGTCCATCAGCACTGGGTGCTCTGTGGTTTCCTTTCCTCTTGATACCCAGGATCCCACAACATCCCCAACAATATTGAAAAGAAAAAGAAAAGACAATTTAGCTGATTCTATAAAAGAGGTGAATTATCAAGGATGTCCATTCTTAGTTATTTGAAAATACTTTACCATGTTTTGGCATTGAGTACAAAATTGGTAATACAGTCATGTATCAAGGTGTCCCATTCACAAAAAGCATTTCACTTGTGGTTTGAAAAATCTGACACACTTAGCTGACCACATGCCTGGGGGGAGGGCTACTGCAGCTTCTGAAACAAGCGGCTCAGGGCCCTCGCTCTGGGGCTGTGAATGACAAAGGAATCACCCATAAGCCTCCATTGTACACCAGGAACCAAATGATAGTGTTAAAAACCCCACGGGCCACAGCTCTCAGACAAACAGATGCACACCTTACTGCCCCAAGCCACCACACTGTTTACAGCTCCTGAAAGGGACAGGGTGGCAGAAGTCCCTACCAAACTTCTTGGAGGTTTAGCCTTTCATACCACTATGGAAGACTTCACCTTTACTGCTGAAGCCTGAACCAGTCTATCTCCTCGTAAAAAGAGCATCCAAGCACTCCGCCTGAGGTTATCTGTTGTAGTTCTGCTTTCTGAACTCAGGTGGACTTTTAAAATTTTTTCTTTCTTTTTCTTTCTTTCTTTCTTTCTTTCTTTCTTTCTTTCTTTCTTTCTTTCTTTCTTTCTTTCTTTCTTTCTTTCTTTCTTTCTTTCTTTCTGTCTGTCTGTCTGTCTGTCTGTCTTTCTGTCTGTCTGTCTGTCTTTCTTTCTTTCTTTCTTTCTTTCTTTCTTTCTTTCTTTCTTTCTTTCTTTCTTTCTTCTTTTCTTTCTTTCTGAGTTGAAGATGGGTTCAGGGTTACAACTTTTTAAAACATAAAAAGTTCTTGAAAGACATTCTTCAGATTTTAATTTCTGGTTTAAAGTGGATCCCAACATTGGTCTTTGGTGCTCCGACACCTATTTGAAGTGGGGGTGGACATTCCTCCCCAGCCTTTGTACACTGTTAGTCTGACTGCAGAGAGCAGGAGGGAACCTGACTAAGAGGCAGCAGAGGACTGTGGAGTCACCACCTCTCCCTGGGCATCTGTTCTGTCCTCTGGCCAACCTGTCAGTCAAGGCGCTCCGACAACACAGCTCAAGTTCCGCATGAACAGCGCTGTTTCCTTTCCTTTCCTCCCCTACCCCATCTGAAGCTTCACATCCCTGTATAACACTCCAGAGAAATCTAGAACATGGGAGCTATTTCTAGATATTTTTTCAGAGAGCATAGAAAATTCCAAGTCAATGTTGCCTTTTGTTCAAATTTAGGGACTGTGCTAATCTGGATATTTTATGTAGAGATATTTCAAATGTTTCTACACACATCTATTTCCTCCTTCCAACCCAGGAAACACAAGCTGAGTATGATTTTCCAGGCCACAAAATCAGAAAGCACCCTGATGCTGAGTCACGATGACACTTGGCCATCCTGAGCAAAAGCAGGTGACTGCTGAGGTCTGTCTCATCACACGGCCCTCTCAGCCACTGGGAAACCTTGAGCTGGAGGTGACTTGTCTTCACTACTCTGGGGCCACAAAAGTCCAGTACCAGGATCTTTCCTGGGCTCACAGTGCCCTGTGCCACTTGACATGGCATCTGTGCTGCAAAGCTAGTGACCCACAAAGTCGCCACCGAAAGATGCCACTAAGGAACCGACCTCAAGGATGACTCCTATAATGGCAGTGAGATCCAATCATCTACAGTCACTAATAAAGCTCCACTGACCCTAACCAAAGGCACATTTGGTAAGCAGTACGAAATGGCTTAGCTTAAATGAGGATCTTCCTTTCAAAACAAACCTTAGACCATCCCCTGGCTCCTACCAAATACAAACTCAAAAACTAAAGGAAGCAAAGCTCCTCTTTCAGAGCAGCCGTTTCCAACTTGCTTTTCAACTTGGCCAACCACAAAAAAAAGGTGAGTGAAGGCAAAGGTGGCCAGACTCTAGGTAGCACTGGTGTCAGGGCTGGTGTCAGAGGTGGGGTGTGGGGCAGGGTGGAGCCAGGGTGGACCCGAGAACCTCTGGGGAAGAACAGGTAGAGAGAGTAACACTGCGTGCAATGGACCTGCGTGGGAAGTCTGAGGGCTGGGCTGCTGCACACTCGCCTCTGGGAAGCAAGTTACCCTATTAAGAGCTCGGGCTAAGCCCCAAACAAATCCTCCAGGAAGAAAAGAAGAACCTCTTTTGGCTATTTGTTTATATCTGAAGAGAAACCCAAAGAGCCAGCCTTCATAACAGGGTTAGAAATAAACGTAATTACTTAGCGATCACATTGTGAAATGAGACGATAAATCAATAGCTTCAATTTGGAGCTTATTTCAGTTCTAGAACTTCTGGCCAAGGCTGTGTGGGAGAGGTCGGCCCTTCTTCAAACCCTGTGGTTTCAGCAGTGATCTGCAGGTCCTTGGGAAGGCACTATGATGGAGGAGAGCAAGGGCTGCTTTTTGTGCTTCTCTGTTGTTGATGCTTGTTTTAATTTTCATTTTTCGGAGGTGGAAATACTTCTTGTGACCGTCAGCTCTTCCTTACTTCTCGTTGCTCATACAAGCAGCCCCATTCGAGTGACTTTGGCTGATAAGAACGTGTGCAACACAAATACAATCGGCTTTGGACAAGAATGCAGGTCCACAGTCTGTGGAGAAAAAATATGAATAGTGACTATAATTAACACACATTTTAATAAACAAGGGCATTAAGTGCATTTAGATATGATGTTCCATGTTTTGTTTTTTTTTTTCCTTTTTGGTTTTTTGAGACAGGGTTTCTCTGTGCAGCCCTGCCTGGCCTTGAACTCACAGAGATCTGCCTGCCTCTGCTTCCTGAGTGTTGGGATCAAAGGTGTGCACCACCCCGTCGGCTCCACTTCTGTTTTTTTTTTTTTTTGCAGTCTCTTGTAGGCCAGGTGAGCCTCAAATTTATTGCATAACTGTGGATGACCCAGATTCCCGGTCTGCTTGCCTGGATTTCCAACTGCTGAGATTTTAGGGATGTGACTCCATGCCCAGATTTATGTGGTGCAGGAGATCAAACACAGAGCTCTGTGCATGCTAGGCAAGCACTCTATTAACTGAGCTACATTTAAATGCCTAAATTACATTTCTTTTTTGTTTATGTTTTATAAAATCTTTATTGACAAATAATTCACATAGTATACAATTTGCCTGTTTGTACAATTTGATAGACTTTCGTCCAGCATTCTCATAGGCCCATGACACCATCACCACTTTCTATTTTAGAACATCGCTGTCTTCAACTTCACACACACATATAATGTGTGGTGATTACATTCCACCTTATTTATTTTCTTTTCCACCTTATTTTTTTAAATGAACATAATATCTGCAATTGTAACCATTTTTAAGTTCACAATTCAGTGGCATGAATTACATTCAAGATATTAATTACACATGATATTCATTACTAAATTACATTTCTTTATTATTGTGTGTGTACACTTGTGCACGTGTGTGTGCATGTGTTTGTGTATAAGTGAGCACACAAGTGCCATAGCACATGCGTCAAAAGACAGCTTATGAAGCTGGTTCTTTCCTTCTAGCACGTGAGTCCTAGGAATCATCACAGGTCATGAGGTTTGGTGGCAATCGCCTTTACTTGCTGAACCACCTCTATGACTCTTTCCATGCCCTGTTTTTGAACAGGGTCTCTCACTGGCCTGGAACTTGGCACTTAAGCTAGGCTGGATGGCCAACAAGGCCCAGGGATCCATCCATCTTTGCTGGATGAATGCAGCTTTCCAATGCTGGAATCACAAATGTATGCTACACATCCAGCTTCTTTAATGTAGATTTTTTTTTGCAGGGGATTGAACTCAGGCCCTTACACATGTAGAGCAAACACATTATTCTCTCTCCAGTTCTTAGACAAAACTTTAAAAAAAAGAGGCCTGGAGAGATAGCTCAGAGGTTAAGAGCACTGACTGCTCTTCCAGAGGTCCTGAATTCAATTCCCAGCAACCACATGGTGGCTCACAACCATCTGTAATGAGATCTGGAGCCCTCTTCTGGCCTGCAGTCATACATGCTGTATACATAATAAATAAATCTTAAAAAAAAAAAAAAAAAACACTTTAAAAAAAGAGATTGGTTTCCTAACGTGGGGAAAAGAAAACAAAATCCAATCCCATTGGGTGGTGGTGGTGCAAGCCTTTAGTCCCAGCACTCAGGAGGCAGAGACAGGTAGATCTCTGAGTTTGAAGCCAGCCTGGTCTATAGAGTCCAGGACAGTCAGGGCTACACAGAGAAACCCTGTCTTACAAATAAACAACAAAAACAAAACTAACCCAATCCCAGTGCCATCCTGAAAACCAGTGAACAATGTCCTAGCTCTAATGGAACATCAAGTGTTAGGCCACAGGAGGTTAGAAGCTGAGAGAGAGCTGGGGATACTGCTCAGTAGTAAAGCACCGCTCAGCATGCAGAGGCCTTGGATTCAACATCCAGCAACAGAAAGGGAAGCAAGCAAGTAAACGAGGAGCATGTGAAAGAGACAACTGGAGCAGGGTGGCGTCCAATGGACATGCTCATGGTTTTCCAAAGACTCTCACCAGTTCTCCCTCAGGACCACCAAAATCCAGATAGAGGTTTCTGATGCCGTCATCAGCAGACATCTTCAGCCGTTCAAAAGGATAGCGGTACAGTATGCTGCTGGAGCCTCCACTGTCTCTGGAGATAGTGAACCCATGTTCGTAGTGGACAGTGAATCTTACCTCCTGGCCACTTAAGGTGCAGCCTATCAAGGATAAGAAAAACTCATATATAATACAGATCCTGTTTTAGTTACCAAATAGAAAAGGATTCTTCTAGTTTCAAACAAGAAAAACAATCTTTTCTTGAGAATATGAGGCCTAAGCTGCTTAAAATTTCCTAAAATAAATGTCTTCAAAGATTTATTACTCTGCATTCACTTTGACAGCACAAATTCTAAAACTGGAATGATCCAGGGAGGATCAGTAGGACCCCCTGGAGATTCACCAAGCAGCATGTATTTTTAAAAGGCCTGTTATTACCATTCCTATCGAACTACGACAGGGTTCAATGTAGCCCAGGCTGGCCTGTCATTATGCACTTACTCCTCCTGTCTTCCTGCTTGGGTATTCCCAGTGTTGGGATTAGAGGCATGGGCTACAAAGCCAGGCTGAGTTTTCTTTCTTTTTGAGACAGGATCCTCCTATGCAGCCCTGGATAGCCTGGAACTTGATATGTAGACCAGGCTGACCTTGAACTCATAGGGATCCATCTGCCTCTGCCTCCAGCATGCAGGGATTAAAGGCGTGCGCCACCACACCTGGTATTATATTTAACTGTTTGTGTATATATCTGTGTGGGTGTATGTGCATGTGAATGCAGGGGTCCAAAGAGATCTGAATCCCCTTGGAGCTGGAGTTACAGTTGATTGTGAATTATCTGACTTGGGTACCGGGAAATGAACTTGGGTCCTTTGCAAGAGCATCTTGACTGAGATGAGACAGGGTACAGCCTAACTTTCCTTGACCTCTGTTTGACTCAGTTCAACTGGATATGAACTGTATGTGTTAGGATTCTGATGCTCCTCTAGCTGCATGACCGCATATGCGCAGTTCAGTACCTAAGCAAGGGGTCTTACATCTTACATCATCAGTGTACTTCGTGAACACTTGCACAATCTCGCTGATTCACGCCTGTCGTAGTTCCGTAAGCCCACCTGTGCATGTGCACGTGCACGGGAATCCTTAAAAAGCTGGACACAGACTCCCATCTCTCTTCTGTTCTTTCCCCCTCCCCCTCTCTTTCTGCAGGTGCCTCTTCCCAGGCCTGGTTACTCTTTTCTGTCCCCCGCCCCCACCTTCCTCCTAATAAAGCTCTGATACTGGGTTTTGTTGTGTCTCATGACCTTTTCTCCTAACAGCGCTGCTTATCATTTTTAAAACAGTATGTAGTGAGGGGGAGACAAAGAGGGATTTCTCTGTTCTCAAAAGACTTTACAAATCCCTAACTATACAAGGTAGAATGTATAAGACACAATTACACTCGAAACTGAGCTAAGGCTCAAGTCAGGAAAGGTTTCTAGGGCTGGGTGGTGGTGGTGGTGGTGGTGGTGGTGGTGGTGGTGGTGGTGGTGGTGGTGGTGGTGCAGCACACCTTTAATCCCAGCACTTGGGAGGCAGAGGCAGGCACATCTCTGTGAGTTCAAGGTCAGCCTGGTCTACAGAGCGAGATCCAGGACAGGCTCTAAAACTACACGGAGAAACCCTGTCTTGAAAAACCAACCAACCAAACAAAAAGTTTATGATCAGCCAGAGTATTGAGGTTGATGCTTTCAAAGGGGCTGGGGATGGAGCGCAGTGGTAGAGTGCTCATCTAGCAGGAGATGCAGCCCTAGGTTTAATCCTTAGTCCCACAGAGACTAGAACAAAACAAATGCTGCAGCCCCACCCCCAAACAAAGATGGGCTTGCCACCAAGCCTGCTCTATCCCCAGACCCACATGGTGAAGGAAGAGGACAGACTCACAAATGTAACACATGCACGCACACTCTCACAGGCTAATGTAATAAAAAAAAAAAAAAAATTAGAAGCGCAACCAGCCAAAGATATGTGTGAGTTGACAGAAACTGATCACTTGGTATGGGGACACATGCCTGTATTCTCAGCACTTAACTAAAAAACAGACTGGAACCATCCACCTAAGGCTAGCCTGGGCTACAGAGTGACAACTACAGGTTAGAGCTGAGCTTTTCTTCCATTTTAACAAGAACGACTCTTGAAGCAGGTCATCACATGTAACCGACACATTCTCTCACTGGATAGGCAAAAACTCCAGTTGGTTAATGCAAGCTGTATGTGTAGGAAACTGGGAAAAAGAAAAGCAGATAAATATTGGCGGTGTCCTTCTCTACACTATTTGATGAGTTTTGGACAACAAACCAGTAGTCATCCTCAGGGGAGGAACCTGGTGGGTAAGGAGTAAACATGGATGCAATCAGCTTCCAGCAGAAGTAGTGCACGCACTTTCTCTAAATGAAAGGCTGAGGGAGGGGGGGTAACAGACGCCCTAACCAAAGCACCCAGACTACAGTCCTATTAACATCACTAAAGCCAGTGTGTAGTGAAGGGCCGGGTCTAAAGGGGAGCGGGTGAGTTCTAATCTAGAAAAGTTCAAAGATGGCCCGAGTTCTTACAGTCCCGGCTGTACCAGGTGCCATGCAGGCAGCCAGTGAGTGAGGGCCAGGCACAGCGAGGCAGGCCATCAACCCAACAGTGGGCTGGTGGGAGAGCCCTCTCACACGGTAGTGCTGTAGAATGTTATTTAAAGGTGTTACTTTTGCTTATGTTGCATTTGTTTAACTCTGTGAAGCTGGGTTAGTGTGCCTGTCTAAAACACCTGATGGTCTAATAAAGAACTGGACAGCCAATAGCGAGGCAGGAGAAAGGATGGGGTGGGGGGCTGGTAGGCAGAGAGAAGCTATAGAAGAAATATGGGAGAAAAGAAGTAGCCAGAGAAGGAGTAGGACTCCAGAGGCCACACAAGCAAGCCATGGAGTAAGAGTAAGATTTACAGAAGTAAGTGAACAGGAAAGCCCAGAGGCAAACGGTAGATGGGATAATTTAAGTTAAGGAAAGCTGGCCAGAAACAAGCCAAGCTAAGACCAGGTGTTTATAATTAAGAATAAGCCTCCGGGGCTGGAGAGATGACTCAGTGGTTAAGAATACTAGATGCTCTTCCAGAGGACCAGGGTTCAATTCCTAGCACCCACATGGCAGCTCACAACTGTCTCTAACTCCAGTTCCAGGGGATCTGACACCTTCATACCAACTCACATAAAATAAAGTGAAATAAATTATTAAAGACAAACAAACAAATAGTTAAAAAAAAAAAAAGAATAAGCCTCCATGTGTGATTTATTTGGAAGCTGGGTGGCGGCCCCACAAAAGAGCAAAAACAAACAACAATATGTAGTCAAATACTGAGCTACGTTCCCAGGCCCTGAGATTTCCCACACGTTCTATTTTGAGCCGTGTTACCTCAGGAGGTAAGAAAATGAAAGCAAACACTTATGTGAGAAGAGGTACTTTGAAAAACACAATCTTTTCTTTTCTATTTTTCCTTTTCCCAAGACAGGGTTTCTCTGTGTAGCTCTGGCTGTCCTGGAACTCACTTTGGAGACCAGGCTGGCCTCAAACTCAGATATCACCTGTCTCTGCCTCTGGATTGGATGAGCCACCACCACCTGGCTGAAAAACAGAATCTTGTTTATGGTTGCTTCAACCTTGAAAAGGAGCAGGAAGATCATATGAATGTTCAGGTCTAGACTAGACACTGGGCATTTATTTTGTGGTATGTGGGAGACACACACACACACACACACACACACACACACACACAATGTATAGTCACAGGACAAGTTTGGGAGTTGGCTCTCTCACTCTACCAACTGGATATTGGGATTGCATTCAGGCTATCATGGATCCTTATACACACACTGAGCCATCTCACTAGCCCTATTTTATTTTATATTTTTTGTTTTATTTATTTTTATTTTGTAGATAAGTGTTTTGTCTGCATTTATGTCTGTGGACCATGTATATGCCTGGTGTCCAGAAGGTGGAATCGGATCCCCTGTGACTGGAATTACAGATAGTTGTGAGACTCCTTGTGGGTGCTGGGAATTAAACTGATAGCTCAGTGGTTAAGAGCACTGGCTGCTCTTCCAGAAGTTCTCTCTCTAGCCCCTTATTTATTTAACTTTAGAGACAGTCTTAGTGTGGCTCAGGGAGAAGGATCAGGAGTACTGTGTGTGTGTGTGTGTGTGTGTGTGTGTGTGTGTGTGTGTATGAAGTTCAAGACCAGCATGATTTTAGAATAACCTAAAAACAACCTCAAAAAACAAAAAAAACCTACCTCAAAAAACAAAAAAAAAAATACATTTTAGTTTATTTTTTTAAAAAAAGGCATTGTGGGCCAGGCTTGACACAAGTTAGAGTTATTAGAAAGGAAGGAGCCTTCACTGAGAAAATGCCTCCATGAGATTGGGCTATAGGCAAGCCTGTAGGATGTTTTCTCAATTAGTGATTGATGGCAGAGTGCCCAGTCCATGGTGGGTGGTGCCATCCGTGGGATGGTGGTCCTGGGTTCTGTAAGAACGCAGGCTGAGGAAACCATGACGAGCAAGCCAGTAAGCAGCACCTTTCTATGGCTTCTGCATCAGCTCCTGCCTCCAGGTTCCTGCCCTGCTTGAGTTCCTGCCCTCACAGATTTCAATGATAAACTGATACATGGAGCTGTGAGTGAAATAAATCCTTTCCTCTCCAAGTTGTTTTTGGTCATGGTGTTCCATCACAGCAATAGTAACACTAACTAAGACAAGGACTATTTGTGGGAGAGAAGAGGAACAGTATGGGTACAAGTGAGTGTAATGGGGGATGAATATGAGCAAAACATAGTGATATGCATGTATGAAAATGTTACAATGAGTAGGTAGGCAGAGAACTCAGTAGTTAAGAGCACTGGCTGCTCTTGTTTCTAACCCAACATCCATGTAGTAGCTCACAACTGTCTGTGACTCCAGTTTCAGGTTATTCAACACCTTCTGGCTTCCATGGGCACTGCATCCATGTGGTACACATAAATACACGTAGGCAAAACACTCATATATAAAACAGTTAAATGTTATAATGGAATCTACTAACTTTTTTTTTTTTTTTTTTTGGTTTTTTGAGACAGGGTTGCTTTGTAGCTTTGTAGCCTTCCTAGAACTCACTCTGTAGACCAGGCTGGCCTTGAACTCACAGAGATCTGCCTGCCCCTGCCTCCCAGGTACTGAGATTAAAGGCGTGCACCATCACTGCCCAGTGAAATCTATTAATTTGTATGTTTGTTAAAAAACTAAAAACATGGGGGCTGGAGAGACAGCTTAGGGGCTGAGAGCACTGGCTGCTCTTCCAGAGGACCCAGGTTCAATTCCCAGCATCCACATGGCAGCTTACAACTGTCTGGAACTCCAGTTTCAGGGGATCTAACACCCTTACACAGACATATACGCAGGCAAAACACCAAAGCACATAAAAATAAACAGATCTTTAAGAATATTAAAACATTTAATTTAGTCTTGGTGGACACTGCTAACCTCAGTCTAATCCATGCCAGCTGGTATTATTCCCAGTCCTCTCCCTGACACACTCTTGTGTCCATGGCATTCAGCATCCCCACAAATCTGGGTTTCCTTCCACTGCTCTGGTCACTATGTATGGTGGTATTTTATTTGTACTGAAATGTGATTTTATTTGTATGTTAATAAATAAAGTTGCTTGGGGGTCAGAGCTAATAGCAAGCCACAGCAGAGCTGGGCTGTGGTGGTGGTGCACGCCTTTAGTCCCAGCACTTGGTAGAAAAGCTAGGTAGATCTCTGTGTGGTCAAGGATACAACCAGCATTGGAGACACACGCCTTTAATCTCAATACCATAGAAAACCTGGAGGGCTGTACATACAGGCAGTGACGAGGTAGTCATGTGTTTGGGTTTACAACCAATGAGAAAGACTATATAAAGACAAACACACAGGAAGTAGCTCTCTTTCGGAGAGGTCTCTTGGCTGAAGAGGCTAGCTTCAGCAGGAAGGGTAAGGATCTAAGCTCTGATCTCTTGGCTTTCTTCTTTGCATTGGTTCTGTGTTTCTTATTTAATAAGACGGTTGGTTACATCTACAACTATGTCTTAAAATCATGAAGGGACATTGGCTTTTTCACATCATATGGGGAATTACTGAATAGAAAGACAAACCTCTTAAAAGTAACTTTCTTTTTTCCAAGATAGGATTTCTCTGTGTAGCCCTGGCTGTCTTGGAACTAGCTCTGTAGACCAGGATGGCTTTGATCTCAGAGATTTGCCTGCCTCTGCCTCAGACTAAAGGGCTGTGCCACCACTGCCTGCCTTAAAGGTTAACTTCTAAAGATGTCCCTAATATTAACACACTTTAGTAAAGTTCAGGAGGAGAAGTGATTTATTCACTAAGGGGTCAATCAGTGTTGTACTGAAATGAATGTAAGCATGTTACCTACTTTGTACCTTTATGTGTATGTGTGGGTGCATGCACAGGTGCATGTATGTGTGTAGAGGCCAGAGGACAGACCTTGGAAATTGTTCCTCCCCAGTTTCTATCCATCTTTACCTTCCCAGCACTGGAGCTACACACACGAGTCAGCACAGCTGGATTTAGATGTAGACATGAGTTCTAGGGATTGAACTTGGGTCTTCCTACTGTGTGGCAAGCACTTTTCCCAGCCCATGTCTTTTTATTTATTCTTTTGGTAGTGCTGAAGACTGAATCTTAGACCCCTACATGGTACTACTGAGCTCTACTTCCTAAAACCAAAGACTGGTATTATTAAGAGGGTGAAGACCTAATGACACAGATGTTTTATGCCACAAATCCTGCTTCTACTCTACTCTGGGATCAGTTCCTTTGTTAACTTGTAGTTCTAGAGGGTTTCAATGTCTGCAAAGTTGACCTGACCTTACAGCAGAACAGACAGGGTGAGAATGAAGCAGGGAGATGGGGAGGGGTGGAGAGTCAGACAGACAGACAGACAGACAGACAGACAGGTTCTTGACCCAAGCTCTTTTGAGAATTTCAGGGCAACTTTGAAGGGAGCAGATCCCTAGAACTGTCAGAGAAAGGCTGGTGCTCAACAGTAAGAAAAGAAGCCACCCTATTAAGTCTAATCAACAAGCTAATTACAGAGGTTGACAGGACACTGCACTCTTCTCACAGCTTTAGTCAAGGACAGGAAATAAGGGCTTATTTACTTTTATCTCTCTCATTAAAAAGCATAGCTCTTGGTAAATACTAAAGCACACGGCAAATATTTGCTCATTTAATGAATGAAGGGGATCCACACTGCATATCCTCCGGGCACTGAATCCAGGCATGAGTACGAGTCATCTGGAGAGAGACAGGGGGCAGAAAGCACTGACTCTCTAAAAGAACTGTGACTCAAGTCCCAGCCACACCAACCCTAGCCTTTGTGAAACCGAAAGGCAAACTGAAATTAAACCTGTGTGCTTCCAGTGTAAGTGAACCACCACCAGGTTCATGGGGACTGGCCACCAGGGGGCGCGTCCACAGTGGAACACAACACTAGCAGGGACTAGCCACCAGGGCGCGCTTCCACAGCGGAAACATGGCAACCAGCTCCTTGAAGTACTAAGAGTGTTGACAGACTATTTTCAAACCTTTGAAGAGAAACTCCTGTTCCAAACACTTTATTTTCTGTAGCTACAATATCGCCAGATGCTTGTATTTAAGGGTGTCTAGCCATACCTTAGATGCCAAATCTTCTTATCTATAGTCAGTGCATCTAATTTTTATTGCCTGGGTTCTTACGCTATTAAATGTAGATTAAAATGATGAACAGTAAAAAAAAGCCACATGGTAGTAGGGTTCTTAATGCCATGTGGCAAGGAAGGGAAAGCTCTGCCAGTGAGACAGACACCAGATTTCTTCCCACCATCACCACTTGAGCTACCTAATGTCTTAACACAGTTTACAGTCGGCACACACAACGGTGGTTTCACTTTAATTCATGTCAGAGGCCAGGAGGGATGGTTCAGCTTTTAAAGGCACATACATCAGTCTTCTGAAGGACTCCAGTTTGGTTTCCAGCAACCACAGAAGCAAATCCTGTCTCTCCAGCTGCCCCTTTTTTTTGTCTCCAGGGGCACCTGCACACACATGGCACATATACACAAACACATGCCCACACACACACATCAATAAAAACAAATCCTGAAAGATACTATAATTACTGTTAGAAACCCAGGGTCAGGGCCAGGAATGTAGTGTATACCTGTAACCACAGTACTGGAGAAGTGGAGCAGGAGGATCAAGAGTTCAAGGTCATCCTCTCATCCTTGCCACATACTGAGTTCCAGTCCAGGATAGGCTATGTGAGGCCCTGTTGCAAACAAACAAACAGACAGACAAACAAACAAACGGAAAGAAACAAACTCAAGTATCTCTACCTAGGGAGACTTCCTTGACCAGCTCAGCAGCAGCATGACAACCTTGAACAAGTATTCTGGTCCAGGTCGACAAATCCCGATGTGTTTCAACCCTGAAGAGATGCATCTCAATGCCCTGCCGAGAGCCCGTCCTTGTAGCAAAGGTAAGGTCAGATCCAAGGGAGGGTGACCGACATCCAGAACCTGAATGAACCAATCTAGGACCACAAATAGAACAGAGAGCTAAAGTAATTACTGGAAGAAAATGTCAGGAATTTATGCCCATTGGTAAGCAGAAACTTATAAAAAACCTTCAGCAGTTTTTAGATAAATGCATTTCAAAACCAGATTGTGATATTTTGAAGTAGATACTATTCTTTAATCCTACAGAATAATCCCTGGTGTCACAAGAGGCAGGATATTACTTATTCTCTTCATTAAAAAAACAAAAACAAAAAACAAAAACCTACCAACAGAAAAAGAGATACAGAAAATTCTGCCAGGAGCTGGAGAGCTGACTCAGGTAAGGAGCACTTGCTGCTCTTCCAGAGGACCTGATATGACAGTTCACAACTATCTCCAATACCCTCTTCTGGCCTCCACAGGTACCAGGTACAACCATGATGCATGGACATACATGCAGGCAAAACATTCATATAAAGAAAACAAAAAACAGAAACAAAGCCCAAAGAACAAGAAAAGAAACGGAAGGAAGGAAGGAAGGAAGGAAGGGAGGGAGGGAGGGAGGGAGGGAGGGAGGAAGGAAGGAAGGAAGGAAGGAAGGAAGGAAGGAAGGAAGGAAGGAAGGGGAAGAAAAATGAATTCATCTAAATGTAGTGGTTTATGCCTGTAATGCCAACACTCAGGCAGTAGAGGCAGGAGGATTCTAAGTTTTAAACCAGCCCAAGGTACAGAGAGTGACCTCTCAGAACGAAACAAAACACCACACAAAATTGCAACCACAGCATATTCTACTCAGTGGACTAGAAAAGGAAGTCCTGAGCTGGAGAGGTGGCTCAGAGGTTAAGAGCACTGGTTGCTCTTCCAGAGGTCCTGAGTTCAATTTCCAGCATCCACATGGTGGCTCACAAACATCTGTAATTCAAACTTGTGCCTTCTTCTGGCATGTAGGTAGAACACTGTATTCATAATAAATAAGTAAATCTTTAAAAAAGGGAAGTTCTATGATTATCTACCATATGGATAAACTTTGAGGATTTTATGTTAAATGAAATAAACAAGTCACAAAAAAAATCCAACATGCACATGGTTCAACTTATATGCAGCACCCAACCTGATCCAGAATTATAATTTTTCTTGAAAACTAGAATTTTATCAGGGCAACAATTAGGGCCAGTCCCCTCATCAGGTAACGAATACCTTTGGACATTTTAGAGGAGGCTCCTAACAAACAGATGTGAGCATGGTGGCTTGCTAATCAGCCCTCTTCCAAGTGGAAACTGGTGGTTCATGAGGAGGAGCTCAAGCTCAGCTCACAACTCAATGACACAGATCCTTTATCTTGAAACATGGATCAGATGTACTTCAGAAGGAAGTACAGGTATTTTTTTTTCTCAGCTCAATAGTTCCTATTTCATCATGTAGAACATTGAAAGGATAAATACTCACAGGTTGAGATGAAATAAAAGTGATAGTTTGTGCTGGCAATGTGGCGTGTGTGGGTGTGAGCACCTGTTCCTATGTGGAGGACAGAAGGCATGTCAGGTGTCCTGTTCTATGATGGCCTGTTCTGTGGCCTTATTTCCTTCCTTGAGACAGGGTCTCTTGCTGAATCTGGAGTGAGCCTGATGGCCAGAAAGTCCTAGCAATCCTCCTGCCTCAGCTCCCATAGCATTGGGGCTATAGGCACATGTGTGGGATGCCTGACTTTCTACCTGGGTGCTGGGACCAGAACTTAAGTGTGCTTGAAACAAGCACTCTACCCACTGAGCGAGCAATCTCTACCCCAAACTGAGTGTTTACAATTTCAGTAAAGACATTTTAAAGTAAACTCATTCTCCCCCTGCAAAGGCCATTAGGGAACACCATGCCTGCTGACACAGAGGTGTTCTGTGCATGTGACAGGTTGCCAATTGCCCTGAAACATGTAAAGGTATCCGCACTTAACTTACCCCCAGGGCAGCTGTTAGCACAGTGAAAACCACAAGTAACATTTCATAATTATACAGTATTACTATGAGATACGTTTGAACTTACAGACTTGCCCTATGGAGTTACCCGAGAACTGTGTTATTAAACCGATTCCTGCAGAACTTACATGCCAGGTGACCATGAGCGAGCTCAGAAAGCTTCAAGTTTTAAGATCATTCCACATATGATCCAAGTGAGATGGAGCGCAGAGGAAAGCAATAGGGTATTCTACCACACTCAGTTTGATTGCTAATCCATGTCAGACTTTACAAAACATCAATCCAGGACGTGACTTTGAAATATTTGGCAGACGGGATCTAATTCAAACCAGGTGCTGGACTTGGGGAGGAGCCATTTGGTTAGGACACACTGCCAAATGCCCCCCACCCCCACTTTTGTGAGGAAGCCAAATAAGCTCATGAAAAGATGAGCTTTACCAGTTTGGGCCATATCAGTCCCACAAGCTCCATGCTACTCAGTTGTCCACATGGCACAGGTGCCATGCTGTCCTTGGGTTCTGTCTCTCCCAGTCAAAGAGAAAGCTTACAGGAAAAGACTGCAAAATCCACAGCACCTAGGACATCAAGTCTTTCTGCCTGTGTTGTGTACCTAGCTTTGATATTAGTCAAGACCTAAAATAAAAATTCCCTTCAACATCTCCAGGCATTGCCAAAAACGTCATGTATTCAGAGAAAACACACACACACACACACCCCAGAGTTTTGATTTCTAAGAATCTAAATGTGAGTTGGGCATGGTGGTGCACACTTTTAATCCCAGCACTCAGGAGACAGAGGCAGGTGGATCTCTGTGAGTTCAAGGCCGGCCTGGTCTACAGAGTGAGTTCCAAGATGGCCAAGGCTACACAGAGAAACCCTGTCTTGAAAAACCAGAACCAAAACCAAAACCAAAACCAAACCACCAACACCACCAAACCTAAATGTGTATGTAATCCAACATAAACTGTAGCTGTTACTTTACACAAATCTAACAATGTTACTTGATCTTGAAATTTGAAACATGATTAATTATTAATTTACCAGGGATTGGGGCTGAAGAGATGAATAAGAACACCGACTGCTCTTCCAGAGGTCCTGAGTTCAATTCCCAGCACCCACCCACGTGGTGGCTCACAACCATCTGTAATGAGATCTGGCACCCTCTTCTGTATACATAATAAATAAATCTTAAAAAACATTTACCAGGGATTACTTATTTTTTATTCATTCATTCATTCATTCATTCATTCATTCATTTATTTATTTTTAAGTTTTTTGAGACAGGGTTTCTCTGTGTAGCTTTGAGCCTTTCCTGGAACTTGCTTTGTAGACCAGGCTGGCCTTGAACTCACAGAAATCTGCCTGACACTGCCTCCTGAGTTCTGGGATTAAAGGCATGCGTCACCACCACTCGGCTTTTATAGCCTTTTTTTTTTTTGTTTGTTTGTTTTTGTTTTTCAAGACAGGGTTTCTCTGTGTAGTTTTGGTGCCTTTCCTGGAACTCACTCTGTAGCCCAGGCTGGCCTGAACTCACAGAAATCCACCTACCTCTGCCTCCTGAGTGCTGGGATTAAAGGCATGTGCCACCACCGCCCTGGGATTACTTATTTTTTTAGATAATCAAGATCTTTCTTTTCCTTTCCTATATGTTTCTGCTATCTTTTTTCCTGTCTATTCATTTGAACTTGGAGCTTACTGATTCCAGGGGACTAACAGGCAGTGAGCTCCAGGGATCTGCCTGTCTCTGCCTCCCCAGGACTGGGACTGCATCTATACCTGATTTTTTGCAGGGGTTCTGGGTATCTGAACTCAGGTCTCAATGCTTATACAGCAAGTACTTTACCAACTGAGTTGTCTGCCAGCTCCACTTGGCTTCATTTTCTTGATGCTACTTGAAGCACAAACACTAACTCTTACTCCTTTTTCTCATGTGGCATGTTTTCTTTTCTTTCTTTTTTCACATAGGCTCTCATGTAGCCCAGCCCAATCCTGAACTCCTGATTTTACTGTTTCTACCTCTCAAGTGCCAGGATTACAGGTACGTGGGGCCATGTTTGGCTTTGCATTTGTTATCTTTGTTTGTTTGTTTTTGTTTGTATTTATTTATTTTTGAGACAGGGTTTCTCTGTGTAGTTTTGGTGCCTGTCCTCTCTTTATAGACCAGGCTGGCCTCGAACTCACAGAGATCCACCTAGCTCTTGCTCTCGAGTGCTGGGATTAAAGGCGTGCGCCACCATTGCCCAGCTGCATTTGTTCTTCATGTCATACCTAAGAAGGCTCTGGGTAGACCTACTCCTTTAAATACACAACTGCCCCATTTTCCTTACTACTAAGGTCCTTTGATGAGCGACATCTAATGGATAGAAATTGCTTGTTTATGAGGCGGTGTAATTTCTAGCATTACGGAATGAAGGTTTATTTAGAGTGTTCTAAATCTTTGGGATACAGGTTAATTGGTCTAACCGTAACTGTGGCAACATGTCCTTGTTTTTGTAGGATTCCTGTCCCGCTCTCAGTGAAAGCGAGACAAAGTAGAGTAAGTGGGGCATTATACACAAGCACCATGGGACGTTCCCAGATGACATCATAGATTTTGATGTCAGACTAGCTTTACTTCAGTGAGGGCATGGGTACTGACATTTATGTCTTCTACAAGATGCTTCTACCCTCAAGGAATTAAGGAAAGCACACCTTCCTGTTCTCAAGTTCAGGAGATGCTTTAACTCTGTTCTGTAAATGAAACACAGGAAAGCTCTATGACAATTTTAAAATCTATTTTCATGAAAAGAACGATACCAGCTGCATGTGGAGGCACACACCTTTACTTCCAGTTCTTGGAAGGCAGAGGCAGGTGGATCTCTGAGGTCACGGCTAGCCGGGTTAGATATTAAGTTCTAGGCCAGCTAGGCCTACATAATGAAGCCCTGTCACAAAAGCAAATTTGCGGTTGTTCAGAACAGAAAGCATTCAGTGTTCTCTCTCTGTGGGGCCCAGCAGATGGTCCAGCACTTCCCTCTTTCACTACCAAGTACTTTTCTGAGCGGCTCCCCCATTTAATGAAGCCACTAGATTACCTTCCACTTGCTCTTTCCATCAAGGGCAAATGGCAGTTCCAACAAAGCATCGCCAAGAGGCAGCTCCAGCTCAAGAGAGAACACAGACTTCTCGTGGATTGTTTACTGCACTGAGAGAGACTTGTAAATGAATTCTGAAAGCGGTCTTGTGGGGCTTTTCAGTTACACAACATCTGACTCTAAAATCCACATGAAACGGAATTTGAGTCTGTTTCTAGCTGTAGTTATTGTCTCTTAAGACACCCAAGTTTCCATCTCTCTTGTTCTCCCGCCTAACTCCACAGATTTGTGATGGTGGGGACATTCTGTGGCTTCAGGACAAAGCCGTGCTTATTGCCATGTGCTCTGTTGTTGCAAAGATATTCTGGCTAAGTGGAGTGGCTTATCCACTTACCACAGTCTGGTTTAAACCATTTCATCACCTACTCAAAAGGCTGCTACAA